CAAAAAAAAAAAAAAAAAAAGGCACATGTACCCTTTTCTTTGATTGCCACGCGGATGTCACCCTCATTGAAATCAATGGGACCGCGCAGCAATCGGGGCCTGCATTGTGCAGGACCTCTCGATCCCGGATCGCGTATCTGCATGAGGGCCTCAACGTTTGTATGAAAAATCTAGCAGTGTATGGCCGGCTTTAGAAGAGAATATTGGAAGACTGAACATTACAAACCACCGGAAGAGTTCTGGAAAATCTGACGAGTATAAAAAGAAAAAAAAAAAACACAAGTGGATACAATTGTAACAATGGTGACGGAGATTATGCGACACATTGTATTATAGTCATTGATGGAGCAATGGATTATGGGAATTTAATTGTAACACGACACAGATTGTTGTAGGAAACAATGACAGTGCCAAAAATAAAAACCAAAACACAAGTGGATACAATTGTAACAATATTGTATACATAAAGATCTCCTTGTAGGATACAAATCAGAAAAAAAAAGCAAAGTCATACATTGTATCTCTGCAGTAGATGAAGATTTCCCCATGTGTTGTCTCTCCCTTAGACGGTCAGCAGGCTCCACCATCCCTATGAGAGGCGTTCTGCGTGGATCACGTTTCTGAAGGCTGTAGAGCCGAGGGTTCAGAAGGAGATTCTGACGCCCGCTAAATGACACTTTTCCCCCTTTTTTTTTTTTAAATGTAATCCCCCTCCCCCATTGCACCTTCACATTGTAACGGGGCCAAATGTTTGCAATGGTCATGTTTGGCAAGTGGCACCCCCAAACAAATGTGACACGCCGTTTAAAATTAGCTGCATCATGGCCGCAGCACATACACAACCCTGAAGGCCAATTTTTTGGCTTTTAGGTAAGTGGTCAGGGGGAGGGCGGTAAAAACGGGGATCCCTCGCCTGTTTATCGCCCACTTGCAGTCCTAAATGTGGCCTTAAAAACACTAGGGGGTCATTCTCACAGGCGTGCACATCCATGCAGAGACCTGCTCGCGGCACATGTCTCTCACGCAAGCAGGTCTATGCACGAGCATGCACGCCATACATATGTGCACGCCATAGAGGAGTACAGGTGGCTGCACACAATTGCACGCAGCACCTGTCCCTCCCGCAAGCAGGTCTATGCACGCCATACACATGTGCACATCATAGGTGGGTACAGGTGGCTGCACACATATACATGCAGCACAGGTCCCTCCCGCAAGCAGGTCTATGCATGGGCATGCACGCATCATAGGTGGGTACAGGTGGCTGCACACAATTGCACGCAGCGCCTGTCCCTCCCGCAAGCAGGTCTATGCACAGGAGCACACACTCCACGCATGTGCATGACCCCTAAAAGTACCCATCGATCTGCCAGAAGTCCAGCAAACATCAGGCAGTGAACTGACAACACAGTTTTTAGTGGTCATTGTTATCAGCTCTGCCCAATTCACCTCTGAACTACAAAACACACCAGATAGTATAGTGATGAGCAGAGGAGGAGGTGCCCTGCCCTAGGGTGACAACACTGGCCCTCGATACAATACAGTGAGTGAGCGTTGTCACCCAGAGATAGGAAGGGAGTTACAGGCAGGATCATCAGGTGAAAATAGAGGAAAACTGATGCAGCCGTCACATCGAAGGACTGGTAAGACGCAACATATGACATTTTTGGTTTGGGGATAGTTGCGCTTTAAAAGGAAACATGCAGAAGACAAATATCAAGCAAAGAAGTTTAAAAACACAATGGATCACATGCAGCTTTAAAGGGCGAAGCAGTAACCGGATCTGTAATGTGCTTGCAGCAAAGCTTTGACCTCAGTGCATGTTCCCATCTGTATTATGTGCAGCAGCTGCTCCTCCAGTGTCTGCCCTGACCAAGCCCATGGGCTCCGGACCCCAGACCGCACTCTGAACCTACCTGGTTTGCAGCGGGGTGGTGGTGGTCAGGAGGGGCCCCTGCAGGTGATGGATGGCTCTCTGGGTTGTCTGCACAGGAACTAGAAGATGAGAGGATCCTGCAGCAGATCTTATAGATTGCTGGGTGTGTCAGGCATGCAGTAATGACACCGTCCAGCCACAAAGCATTCCTTAAAGGGACAGCAGCATCACTTCCATGTCCATGTTACAGGGAGAACGCCGGCCACACACTGGTAGAATTTAGTTCGATACAATGTGTTTTCGGAACGTTAGTCCATATATGTAATGGGGACAAATCGACGATCGTGGGGGCGTGATGGGGAATCTTTCTCCGATGGAATTATCAGAATAACTGTCAGAATACAATAGCCGGGAGGGGGAGATTCCTCCCTCCATAATGTATAGTCTGGACGGGGAACCAAGGGGGTGCAATGAGTAAGAACTAGACGTGTATGTCCAGCTCCAGTATTGTTCTGGATGAAGGTTTAGGGGTTTATTTAACAAAGTTTTCACTCCAGATTCACACAACTTTCACACAAGATTCAGGGCCCATTCATACTTTAGTGACTTGTCGTGGTGTGATGACGTGCGTTACCCCATGCATTGGCATGCAGTGTATTGAGGCAGCCGGTTCACTATGATTGGGCTGCCAATGTACCGATGTAAAAATGTCCCTGACCTTCTTTAAGCAAGTGCACTGTAACGCATGGCATGTGCATGGTATCAGTGGCATCACAAGGTGGGTGCTGGGGTGCGGACCACACCCGGGTGACACCATTGGAGGCTCATTTTGGTGTCACCCCTCTCTGAAAAGTCGAACACTTGGGTCAGAGCCCAACAGTTGCAGGAGAGAGGAAGGGACCCGGCATACCTTATCCTGCCGGGTGAACGTCCCCTCCTCTCTCTGCTGGTGTCCATCACCAAGATGGCCGCCGGCATGTATCACCGAAATGGCCGTGCATGCGCGATGACATCACGGCGGGGTGTCACCCAGTATCCACCCGGCCTCGGGACGCCCCTGCATGTTATGTGTTGTATGTGAGTTGCATGGACATGGTATGTGTGTTGTACGTGTATGGTACGTGAGTTGCATCTGCATGGAAAGTGTGTTGTGTGTGTTATATGTGTATGGTATGTGGGTTGTATGTGCATGGAAAGTGTGTTGTGTGTGTTATATGTGTATGGTATGTGGGTTGTATGTGCATGGAAAGTGTGTTGTGTGTGTTATATGTGTATGGTATGTGGGTTGTATGTGCATGGTGTGTGCAATTTTTGCGCATTCTATGCGCACGGTATGTGTGTTGTATATGCATGGCATGTGCATGCTATGTGAGTTGTAAATGCATGGCATGTGCATGCTATGTGAGTTGCATGGTGTGTGTGTTGTATGTGCAATATATGTGCATGGTATATGTGTTGTATGTGCATGGTATATGTGTTATGGTGCGTTGTATGTTGTGCTGTACTGTGCGTTGCGGTGCCAATCACAATAAATTGCACTGAAACGCATGGCACATAAAGTAGGTGCGTTGCCGTGTGTTGTGGTATTTTGCATTCACACATATTAGCTGGCATTTCCACATGTGTTCTGGGCCTCAACATCCCCCTTTTTATGTGCTGAGGTTGCACTATTGGTGAAGATGGTGAGAGTCAGAAAGCAAGTCTGACCACATTGGTTTCATATTCAGAACATTCTCCCTCAGGGAATCAAATCATTTTGATGGTTTTTTTGCAAAATTCTAGTGAACTGTGAAAGATAGCCTGAGGCCAGGCTTGTGACACATAACAACACGTCCTCATGAGGAAGTGCTTAGGAGGCAGACTACTGCGCGGGTTCTACAATTATCCGTACTGAAAACAGATGCGGGCCAGGAAATACTGTACAGTATATCTACAGACAGACCCGGAGAGACTGAGCGGAGGGGCTACATGACTGGGGGAGGAATGGTCCCGGGAGAAATAGTTAAAAGAAAATGGGAATAGCTGCTCTTACCTGATTGGACGTGGGGGTCAGGTGTCAGGGAGGAGCCGCATGGGAAGGAACTGCGAGGGCTGAGGGACGTCCTCTTTCTGGAAATCAACGAAGGAAGCAGGTTGTCCCACCCTCCCTCCCTTCAATGCTATCAGCAACAGCTGAAGCATATATGCAATGTCACAGGAGTTCAGCACAACAGCAATAGTATCCACAATCTCAGATGGGTCCTAACCCATATACAGTACTTGCGGTCAGTGGAAAGTCTCTATTAACAAGGAGGCTCAGGAGGGGGTGCTGTGCCTTTCGATAGGGTCCGGATGGAAGGCAAGGGGGACAACTGATTGATCAGTATCCTGCTACAACCAACAGTAGGACGCTGATCAATTAGTGAGCAGCGGCTTTAAGCCGACTGCTCGATCGCGGTGGGGCGGAGTCCCGAGGCGCGCTTGTGCAGTCTGCAGTTCCACCCTGGAGGTGAGAGGGGGCGGAGTCCCGAGGCGCTCCTGTGCTGAACAGCGAACGCGCTCGGCCCCGTGTAGAGGGATTCCCTCGGCGCGTCTGAACAGTACGACGTCGGAGTCCCCAGGCGGACCGCAAACCGACGGTTACACTAGGTTACCTCAGGCTCCTCCAGCAGCCCCAGTGACGGTTCAGTCCATCACAGTTAGATCATAGGTGTGTGGAGGTAGGACTATGACTAGGTTATAGATGTGTTGGGTTAGGGCTATGGTTAGGTTATGGATGTGTTGGGTTAGGGCTATGGATGTGTTGGGGATGTGTTGGGTTAGGGCTATGGATGTGTTGGGTTAGGTCTATGGTTAGGTTATGGATGTGTTGGGTTAGGGCTATGGTTAGGTTATGGATGTGTTGGGTTAGGGCTATGGTTAGGTTATGGATGTGTTGGATTAGGTCTATGGTTAGGTTATGGTTATATTGGATTAGGACTATAGTGAGGTTATAAATGTGTTGGGTATGTCTATGGTTAGGTTATGAATAAGTTGGGGTATGTCTATGGTTTTGTTATAGATGTGTTGAGTTAGGGATATGGATAGGTCATGGTTATGTTAGGGTAAAGTTAGGGTTATTAAAGTTAGGAGGAGGTTAGGAGTAGGTGTAGGGTTTTCTATTTTCTTTTTTTATGGTTTGGGTCCAGTAAAAACATATTATATCCCCAGCCCCCCCCCCTCCCCCGCTTCTGTTTTGGAGATGTCGGTAAATGCTTTGCTGAAATGTTTTTTCTAAATCTCACTGCTGAAGACGAGGGTCTGGTTTCACTAAAATTAGCTGAGAAGTCCCAGGGTTGTGGTGAGTAAAAAGAGCGGCACCACATATAAAGGAAGCTCAGCAAATAAAAAGTTCTTATTACATATGGTTTGAGGGTCACTGATGTGAGATGACCCTCTCCTGGCAGCAAAACATCCACTCTCTTACGTGCATTGGTGTAGCCACTCCTAAGTAGGACATCGTGGTCTTTTTTTAAAATATTCTTACACCACCTAAAAGGATCTTGAGAATCCATATGGGACACCATCTTACAATTACCCTGTCCCCTGTAGTTTACTTACTTGCAGCATGCAACAAATGCAGGTCCAGTCCTTGAATGCAATTCCACGTTAGCAGTCGATGGGGAGGATCTCAGCATACGAGAATAGACAGCACCCACTAGAGTAATGAAACAACAAAACAAGAGGTTCTTTTGTTTTTTTTTTCTTTGCATTTCTTTGATTCTAGTATATGGCCATTACTCCACACATATGGTCTCCAGGCACACATCCTGCAAGAGTGTCAAACCCTCTAGGCGCTGGTGGGAACTCAAACAGGCGCTCAGCATTAACGGTGGGGAAACTCCCCTCAGTCAGGAACCCTCCCTGTCCCCATAGGGGAGACTTGCAGAAAAGGGCTCAGTTGTTTTGTTAGAGATATGTCCAACCCTCCGATCCGATGATAAACTCAACAGGGCTCGGCCAGCTAACTAGACAGACAGAGCTCTCCATATCCTGCAAGAGTTTCAAACCCTCTCGGCCCTGGTGAGGCCTCACAAGAGGCTCTCAGCCTGGACACTGGGAAACTCCCCTCAGCCAAGAACCGTCCCTGTCCCAATAGGGGAGACTTTGAGGACCCTTGCAGAAGAGGGCTCAGTTGTTTTGTTAGAGATATGTCCAACCCTCCGATGATAAACTCAAAAGGGTTTGGCCAGCTAACTAGACAGACAGAGCTCTCCATATCCTGCAAGAGTTTCAAACCCTCTCGACCCTGGTGAGGCCGAGAGGGTTTGCAAGCAGTGAAGTTTTCTTTCTTCTCACACTATATATTACTGGATATGGGCTTGAAGGGCAAACATGGCAGATGCTGTTACTGTTTGTGAACATGACGGCTGCTATATAAATCTGATGTGTTCAGGTGTTACATGGCTGCTGTGCTTTCTTCAAGAAAGTGAGATCTTAGGGACACCTAATACTGAGTAGGTCCCCCTTTTCCTGACCCGGTGAGGGATGGACTCCACTAGACCTCTGAAGGTGTGCTGTGGTATCTGGCACCAAGCCGTCAGTAGCAGATCCTTTAAGTCCTGTAAGTTGTGAGGTGATCGGCCTCCATGGATCGGACTTGTTTTTCCAGCACATCCCACAGATGATCGATTGGTCTGAGATTTGGAGAATTTGGAGGCCAAGTCAACACCTCAAACTTGTTATGTTCCTCAAACCGTTTTTGAAACATGTTTGCAGTATGGCAGGGCGCATTATCCTGCTTAAAGAGGCCACTGCCATCAGGGAATACCATTTCCATGGGTGTACTTGGTCAGCAGCAATGTGTAGGTTGGTGGTACGTGTCATAGTCACATCCACATGAAGGGCGGGAGCCGAGGTTTCCCAGCAGAACATTGTCCAAAGCATCACACTGCCTCCGCCGGCTTGTCTTCTTCCCATAGTACATCCTGGTGCCATCTCTTCCCCAGGTAAGTGACACACATGCAGCCGGCCATCCACATGATGTAAAAGAAAGATGATTGATCAGACCAGGTCACCTTCTTCCATTGCTCCGGGGTTCAGTTCTGATGCTCATGTTCAGACAACTTTCTATCAGAACCAACATTCACTTTTTCAGTAATTCGATCTCCAGTATCTCTTCTATTGGATCGGACTACACGG